AGGTCACTCTAAATGCAAAGTGGTCCCATACAGCAGACCTATAAAGTGCTGCTGGCGCGTCTTCCAACTCCTGTTCTTTCCCACTCGCCATACCCACACAATTCTCCTCAACAGCTGATTTTTTCCTGCGACACCCGGCTACGCTGCTTCGCTTCTTCTTCTTCTTGTTTACTACTGGTGGTTGGCTTTGGTCGCAGTACCGCCACCTTCTTCTCTGGAGTCGCTTCGCCTATGAGAAAAAGGAGCAGCGCATGAACCGAACGCAACACACGGGAATCGAACCGAGACAGTCGAACCGAACGGTTCAGACGGTTTTCAAAAACCGTTCCATCCCTAGTTAAGATGAATCTCAGGCGTTGCCAGATCCATGCAGCTCTGTGATAAAGCTGAGAAATGGCTTCTTGTGGACGCTGCATTTCTTATATTAAAGCCAAAAAAAGCAAAGAAAAGGAAGCTAAATAAAGGTGAACATTAGTTAAGATTTTGAGGGTCGGAGCAACACCACGCCTACTAACTTTTGACTAAAGCAGTGTATCAGCTACAAACTATGTAGCCAGGAGAGAGTAATGGAACACACAGTCAGCTCATGTTAGGGGCTGTGTAACTTACATACGTTTTAAATTCTCCTTGAAACATTGGTTGAAAACCAACCAGATGTGTTCACAGGTAAATTGATCTGTTTCCATGGGCCTGTTAACCTCATTTTATTGCGATTTTATGTTATTGGCATCTTATCTGTTTGTGTCCACACTGTTCTCTCCTGTAGCATCTTGTTTAATGTTCACTGTTTTTTTTTTTTTTTTTTTTTTTTTTTTTTTTACAGTGTCCTGTCTGGCAAGGTGGCAATAAGAATAATTGTCTTGATGCCAAAAGGAGCCCAACAGATTTTACTTTCACAAGTGTAGCGGTATGGCAATTGCCATACTGCTCCACTTGTTTCATGTATATAAATTGCTTTATTATAATTATGCAGGGAGTTTTACAGTTCATATGGACACTGCAATGTAAGTAGAGCAGAAAAACAGAAGAAGAAGAAGGGAAAAGAAAAAGAAAAAAACAGGACAAAAGATGAAAGAAAGAGGAGATAGGAAGGAGACAATGACAAAACATTTTCAGTCTGCTTCAACACCTGTAATGAGATGGAAAAAAAAAAAAAAAAAAAAAAAGAACAGCACAACCAAAAAACATGGTACGAGATATACAATAAAGCAAACACCTTGAAACTATCGCTAACGTAATATTATTAAGTCTGACATGTACTCTGTGTTACCTGAAGATATGAATGTGGGGTTTCTGTTTGGAAGTGAATCTCTAAGTACTTGAAGCCTAGCACCTGTAGTTGTTTGTGAGGGTGAACTTGTGCATGTAAAGTTTTAACCATAGAAAAAATGCTCAATAGTGGTTGTGGAGAGCCGGAGAGGCACACCCCCCAGAGCACTGAGTCCAGCGCCGGGAGACCCAAAGCCCCAGGCGCCCAAGGGGACCCCAGAAGCGAAGGCACCAAGGCGGGGCCAGCCCCGGAAACCAGACCCCACCAAGGCAGGAGGAGAGACAGCCACGAAGAAGCCCCCCAGCCACCGCCATGCCGGCGCCCCGGGGAGCCGCGGGGACGAGTCCGCGGGCCCCGCCGGCAGCCGGCCACCCCGAAGTAGGGCCGGGCATCGAACACCAGCCCCCCCACGGCGCCGACCGAAACGCCCCAGCCCCACAAAAGAAAAACCCCAAAAAACCCCCAACACCCCCCGGGCCCCCCCCAGCACCAAGCCCCGGCGCCCGGGCCCGCAACACCCACCGCCGACCACCCCCCGGAAAACACTCAGGGGGGCCCCGCGCCCCCCGGCCGGGGGCCCCCCAAAGGGGCGCATTTTTTCCCCCGCCGCAAACCCGTCCCCCGAGCGCCGGGGGACCCCCCAAAAAACCCCCCCCCCCCTTCCAAAAGGGGGCACCCCCCCCCCCAAAAGACCGATCCCAAACCCAGCGCGAAACGAAAAAACACCGCGCACAGAATAAACCCGAGAGCAAAAAAGGGCCCCCCGGGCGAAAAAAAACCCAAGAAAAGCAGGACCGCACCCGGCGCAACCACCCCCCCCAGCAGCCCAAGGGCAGCACAAAGCCAGGGGGGGGAGCGAACCGCGCCGCCCCCCCCCCCACCGGACGAACCCAAAAAAACCCCCAAACCCCCGCCCGCCGCCCCCCCCCCCCCCCCCGAAACCGGGCCCCTTTAAAAAACGCGGCCAAGCAGCTCCGCCCCCCCCCGGCCCCCCCCCACGCGCCGGCCATAGCCACTCCAGGCCCCCACCCCCCCCCCCCCCCCCCCGGCGCGATCGGGGGCCGGGAAACCCAAAAGCAGCCCCCCCAAAGCCCCCCAAGGAAAGGGAAAACCCCCCCAAATTTACCAAGCCACGCAGCCCCCCCCGGGCCCCCCCCAACCGGCCCTCCAACACAACCCCCCCCCGGGACCCGGGCCCTTTACCCCCCACACACCACCCGGCGCGCCCCCACGGGACCCCCACCCAGCAGGCCCCCCCGCCCCCCCGAAAAAACAGACATGCCAAAAACCCCCAAAAAAGGGGAAAGGGAAGAAAGAAAAAAAAAAAAAAAAAAAAAAAAAAAAATGCCCCCCACAATCGACAGCGGACACCGGGACACCCCCCCCGCCCGGGAAAAAAACCGCTCCCCCCCACCGGGGAAAAAAAAAAAAAACATAAATAAAAAAGGGAAAAATTAATTAATTAATTAAAAATTTAACAACCCAAAATAAATAGGAAAAGGGGAGAAGTCAGGGGAAAAACCGGGACCCAAAAAAACCCCAAGCCCCCCCGCACCCCCCCCCAAATGCCGTGAAAACCCCCCCCCCCCGAACCGGAAACCCCAACGTTTTCCAGGAAATTTAAGGGAAAAAGAAAACCCCGCCCATGAACCGGCATCGTAGCAAAGGGGCCCCGGGCACCGACCCCAAAAAACCCCCAAACAACCCCCAGCCCCACCCCAAAGCGGATCCAGCCCGGGCCCCCGGGGGGTTTCCGGGGCCCCAAAAGGGCCACCCCCGATCCCCCCAGACAGGACCCCAGCAAACCCCCCCGCCCGGCCCGGGCCCAAAAGCGGAGAGGGCCCAGGAATACCACCCCCCAGCCCCCCGGGCCCAAATCCCCCCCCACCCTCCACCAGGGAAAACCGGGTTTGGGGGCCCCCCAACCCGCCACCTTTTTCGGGGGGGAACAGGCCCGGGGGGAATGGGCCCGGGCACTTGGGCCGTAAAAGACTTTGAAAAATTTTATTTTGGGAAAGGGGGGTGGGGTTTTGGGAAGACCCCAAACCCTTTGGGAGAAAAAAAAAAAAAAAAAAAAAAAAAACCCAAAAACCAAATCTCAATAAATCCCTTCCCTCCCAAAATTTCCCCCCCACCCGAACCAAACGGGAAAAAAAAAAAAAAAAATTGAAAAAAAAATAATAATAAATAATAAAAAAAAAAGAAAATAAACAACGGGGCAACAAAAACATTTCACCCCAAACACGGCACATCCCAATAAATCCCCAAGGGCCCAAAAACCCGGTGACCCCGGGTTGGTTCCCGGGGGGCCCCCCTGGGCCAAAAAATTTACCCCATAATTTTGGAAACCAAAAAATTTTCCCGGATGTGGGGGGGGGGACCCGGCGACCCCGCCAAACCCCAAACCCCATTTTCTTTCCTGCTTCAAGCCCGGGGCCCCCCCACCCCCCCACAGGGCCGGGAAACCCCCCCAAACAAGAGCCCCCCCCAAGGGACCGGGGCCCCCCCCATTTCCGCCCCGGGGCCACCCAAACCCGAACCGCCCCCCCCCCCCCCCCGAACCAGAAAGAAAAAAAAAAAAAAAAAAAACCTTTCAACCAGGCACCTTCATGCCCCTCCTTTCCAACCTTCCTTTTTTGGGGAAAACCCAGAGGGGGGACAGCCCCGGGCCCCCCCAGCGGGCCCCCTAGGCCCCTCCAAGCCCAGCCCCACCCCAAAACCAGGGGACCAGGGGGGGCCCCGTTTTCTTTCCACCGGGCCCCCAGACTCCAGGCGGCAGCCGGGGAAAAAAAGGGGTTGTTGAAAGGACCCCGACCCTTTCCCCTTTGCGCCCCGCTCGGTAGTGGTTTTTGTTGCGTGTTGCCCCTTGGTTTTGAAAATTAAAAAAAAAACTGGGAGTACCAAGAGGGGGGGTCCCGGGCACACTCCAACCCCCCCTCCAGGAATAAAACGGTCCCAAAGCACCCCCCCCCCTTTTCGCCCAACCCTCAACCCTCAATTTTTTAGGGGGGCAGAGGGGATGGAGGAGGCCGACCGTGGTGAGGCCCATAAAATAAGCCCCCCCCCCCTGTGGCCCTGACCCCCACCCCCCGAAAATGCCCTACATAGATGTGTGTTGTGAAAATGATGTTGATGGAAGTGTCTAAAATGCAAAATAAAATTGGTGTGGGGGACGTCATCAGAAGGTGTGGCCCTCCAGTAACGACCCCCTCCCCAAAAACCTACATGTGTGGCAAAGTGATGGAGCAGGCAGAGGGAGGATTTCGGGGATGGGGAGCAAAGGACTGGGGTGCTTGCTGCACTCCCAGGGAGCCAGCTCCCCCGCTGACTCCAATAGGCACCCCCGTTCCCCGAGAGCCCCCCCAGAGAAGGGGGCCCCACCAGTTTCACCACCATAGCCCGGGGGCACGGGACCGGCAGCAGGACCCACCAGCCAGCCGGGCACGGAGCCGACACCACCACCCCCCCCCGTCCTGTCCATCCAAAAATAAAAATAAAAAAAATAATAAAAAATAAATAAATAAGTAGATAAATAAAAAATAAAAAAATAAATAAATAAATAAATTAAATTAATAAAAAAATATAAAAGGAAGATAAGAAAAAAAAAAATAATAATAATAAATAAATAAATGAATAAGGGAGGGGACAACCCCAGCCGGCCAGCCAACGCGCAACACTCCCCACAGAACCCGAACCCCCGAACCCCCACCGGGGACCTCGCCCAAGGGCAATGCGCCCCAGGGATCCCAGACCCCAGGACCCACCCCAGACCCACCCCGCAGTAGGGCCGGGCAATGCCCAAAAACCCCCGGCGCCGGCGCCAGCGCCCCCACCCCGACCCCGGCCCCCGAACGACTCCCCCCCAACACCGGTCCCACAGCACCAATCCGAAGAAGAAGAAAGCCACACAACACAGCAAAGTGTAAATCCCGAGCCCCACTCCAAGCCCCGATCCCCCCGCCCACACACCCCCTCCCACACAAAAAAAAAAAAAAAAAAAAATTATAATATTCTCCCCCTCACTGGAGAAGAACGGCCGCAAACAAGCCAGTGCCCAACACCCACCGCCACACCACGAGGACCCCTCCACCCAGATGCTCCTCCCCAGAAAAGTCAACATGCCTGCCCTCCCAGGAGTCAGGCAAGCCCGCCGAACAGGAATCCCCCCGGCAGCGCACCGCCGGGATGCGGGGGCCCGAGCAGCCCCAACAGAAACAACACCGGAAGGCCGACACGGACGCACCGACGGCACCAACCTAGCCCCCAGGCGGACTCCCCCACCCAAAAACACAACGAAACCACCCCGCCCCCACCGACCACAGCAAACACAGCCGCAAGGCAAAGCAAAGGACAGAGCAGCCCCACCCGGCGCACGCCAGAGAGCCAGAGCAGCAAGGCCGCCCCAGCCGCCAGAAGCCGGCACAAGCAGCAAAAAGAAAGCAGCAGACGCGACCCCACCACTCCCCGCCGCGCCCGGCGCGAAAGCAGCACGACCCACCCCGCTCCGGCCCCGCACCACCCACAGGCCGCCAAGAGGAGGACGGCCACGCCGGCCACGGCCCGTCCCCCCCCCGCCGCCAAACACCGAGCAACCCTCCACTCCCAAACCGCGCACGATGCACCGCACCACGCGCCACCGGCACCCGCCCCAACAGAGCGAAGCCACACCCCGACCCGGGGGCGCTCCAAAGGGACCCCCGACGCCCGCAACCAGCCCACAACAGACACACACGAACCCCGGCCACAGGCGCGACCACTCACGCCCCCCCCCGGAAGACGCAACCACGGCAAGCGCCACGGCCAACCACCGAAACCCGGCACCGGAAGACGGGGCACACCCCGACGCCCCGCAGAGCAGAAGCACCCCGGCCAGCACCACAAAAGAACCGATGCCCGGCGCCCAGCCCCACCCAGCAGCAGCACAGCCACCAGGCCAGTAGCCCACGTCCGCCACCACGGAACCCCCCAAGAGCACCGCACGCGGCCGCCGCAGGACCCCCCCCGCGGCGCCCCAGACCCCGCCCCGACGGGGGCAACAGTCCCCCGGGCCAGACCCGCCAGGCACCCCGCTCCGAGCACCCCCCCGAGCCCCCAGGACACAAGGACCCCCGAACTAGCCCCCGCGCCCCACAAGACGCACCCCATAGCCCCCCACTACACTAAGTGATGGAGCCGATCAAGGGAGCCCAGAGAGATCGGTCTGATGGGGATGCAGATGCTGTCTCAAGATTAATATGATCCAACAACAGATCTCTGTACTGATTGATGTTGAGTTTATCCTTACTTTTCCAATTCATGAGGATAGTTTTCTTTGCGATACATAATGCAGTGAATGCCAAGCAAACCGATTTTTTTCCCATAGAGCTTCCCTCAAAGTCACCCAGCAAGCAACCTGAAGGGGAAATTGGGATTTTACAACCCAGGCACAGTGATAGATCCTTACATACCTGTACCCAGAATCTCTGAACCGGCGTGCATAACCATAACGCGTGAAAATAATTATCAAGTTGATTGCCTGTGCACTGTGGACAGATGTTAGATTGCGCAAAACCCATCTTGAATAATCTTTGACCTGTATAGTGCACTCTGTGGAGGATTTTGTATTGTATTAATTGTAAATTGGGGTTTCTGGTCATGTTAAAAGTTCTTAGACATATCTGAGCCCAGATGTTTTGTTCAAAGCTGACTGATAAATCCTCCTCCCATTTAGTAATAGGAAGAGATATTGTATCATCCAGTTCAGTCAGTGTCCTGTATAACTTAGACAGTAGTTTGGGGGGGGTTAACTCTAGAAACTCTGATATTTTAGTTGGAATTATTAAACCTCCATCAATATGCTTAAATTTATTTCTAATTATAGCTTTGATTTGCTCATATTTTAAGAATTTATTTTTGTTAATGCCATATTGCAAGTTTAATCTAGCGAATGTGATAAACTCCGTACCTTCAAACAAATGATCCAGATATGTAATACCTTTATTCTTCCAGTACGGAAAGTTTATCACATTATTGTTTTGTAGAATGTCAGGGTTATTCCAGATGGGTGTACGACTGCACGGGATAAGTGATGAGTTCGTTATTTTTAGAAATTCCCACCATGCTGTCAGGGAAGAGCTGATGTTAATATTTTTGAAACATGGGTGCTGTTTGATCTTAGAGCTAATAAACGGCAAATCTGAGATTATTATATTACTGCATATATCCTGTTCTGTGTCTATCCAGGGCTCATCTAAGGGATTATGTTTTATCCATTTAGAGATGTATTGTAATCTATTTGCTAAATAGTAGTGTTGGAAGTTAGGTAAATCTAGTCCCCCTCTGTCTTTAGTTTTCTGAAGTGTTTTTAAGCTGATACGAGGGGGTTTGTCCTTCCAAAGAAATTTAGAGATGGAAGAATCTAGAGATTTAAACCATTCGGTTGATGGTTTATTTGGGATCATTGAAAATAGGTAGTTAATTCTGGGTAAGACCATCATTTTAATTGAGGCTACCCGACCCAAAAGGGAGATCGGAAGCGATTTCCATCTTTCTAGGTCCTCTTCTATTTTCATTAAAAGAGGGGTGTGGTTGAGTTTTGGTAACTCAGCTAGTTTAGATGACACAGTAATTCCCAAATATTTGATATTTCCTGATTGCAATTGTAGACCTGAGGGATTCTGTAGAGAGCAATTAATTGGTAGTATTACAGATTTAGACCAATTTATAGAGTATTCTGAGACTTTTGAGAAAGATTCTAGTAAACTAATCACTTGAGAGAGGCAAGTGTTTGAGTGCTGGAGATAAAGTAATACATCATCTGCGTAAAGACTAATTTTATGCTCCATTTTCATGCCTTTTATACCTTTAATCATATTTGTTTGTCTGATTGTAGCAGCCAGAGGCTCGATAAAAATAGCAAAAAGTGAGGGGGAGAGTGGGCATCCCTGTCTGGTGCCCCTCTGGAGACAAAAACTGGAAGATGTTTGATTGTTTGTCCTGACACAGGCTGTTGGGAAGCTGTATAATATTTTTAACCAATTTATAAAGGAATTGCCAAAGCCAAATTTATGTAGAGTAGCAAATAAAAATTTCCAGTTTACTCTATCGAATGCTTTTTCTGCATCTAAGGACAATATATAGGATTTAAGATTTTTGCTGTAGGAATAATCTATTAAATTCAGCAGTCTGCCTGTGTTAGTAGCTGACTGCCTCCCTTTAATGAAACCAGTTTGATCTGGGTGGATTATGACTGTTTTTTTTTTACCTGCCTTAGGACAGTGGATGCAAATTAGCTGTTGTGCTAATTCTGGCATATTTACATTGATGCTTTATGCTGACAGGTTGATGAATGTGCATTGTCCTAATTCAAATAAATGAAATAATAAAATAAATAAAATAAACTAAAATAAAAGTATGCAAGTTTTCCAGTAAAACTAAAAAAAGTGATGGCATTGGGAAATAAACAAGACAAGAAATTGTATATTAAGAGCAGATATAGAGGCAAGACAAACCAAACTATAATAAGCTAAGATGTGGAAAGAAAATATTAAGAAATAATGACTGGTATAAGACTTTTGGAAAGTGAAGTTTGTTAAAGTTGCTTTGTAGTAGGGCTGCAACAACGAATCGATAAAATCGATAAAAATCGACTTTTAAAAGCGTTGGCAACGAATTTCATCATCGATTAGTTGTGTCACGCGATTAATGCGTCATCTGCCGCCGCCGTCATCACATCCACTTGACTGAAACGGGGGAAGAAGAAAAAATAGGGCAGAGCGAGTCAGCGCCGCAGGGCACAGTGTTGCCAACTCAGCGACTTTTCAGACCCCTCCAGCGACTATTTTTCAAAAAAGCGACTAGGGACAAATCCTGCGACTTTCTACGGTGTCACTGGCGGCTTTTGGAGACTCTTACGTGAAAGCATGTATCGTTCCTACTCTGCCGTGGGGCGCCTCCCCCATCCCAACCCCGTTCTCCGGCTCCCGCAGGAATCCCTCGCAGCGCTGCAGTCAGAGCAGCAGGATTTTTACCATCAGCGTCCAGACTGCAAATGAAGCGCGCATGCGCCGGGATTGACGGCGCAAATTGATCAGAATAATTAAAATAGCCTGCGCTTTGTAAAGCGAAAAAAATCGTAACATGCAGCTTTTGTCAAAACAAATGAACATGGCACGGAACCACCATGTTTGTTTCGTTTTAAAGAAACGTTACGTTAGTTTCTCAGGTAGCTCATCTGATGCTTTCCCTACCGTGTTAGTAGGTTACAGACAGTGATAAGGTTGGCTACTTATTTTAATTTTCATTTCATTTGAATTAGCTTAAGCAGCGTTTATATTTTCTTTATAAATAAATTAACTTGAAAATTATGAGGGCAAGGCTTTTAAAGTTTAAATCTTCTGGTTAAAGATAAAGTAAAGCAGAATAAAATCCAGCAAGATCAGTAATATGTCAATTAATTATATGCCACATTCCCATGTAAATATCTGTCTTTGGAGGATGTGTTTTTTAGCACCCCTAGTTCTCTCATTTTTATTCCAAATACAATTTATAATTTGAATCACAGGGCTATTTTTATCACTAGGGTTCAGTATTTTCTCAAGAAGCAACTTTAACTGCTATACTTTCCTGTCTTAAAAGGCAGAACTCTTCTAGTCTAAAAAAAACTAATTTGATGAAATGGGGGGCCTATTGTTTGAACCCCTTAGGGGCTTTTAAAAACAAAAATGTCTTTTTTTGCACTTTATGAAACAAAGTACCTAAAATGTACTACCTAAAAAGTAGTGTCTAAAATGTTTATTTTGGAATAAAGAGGTTAATATAAAAAATATTTTTTGTCCGATTCATCGAAAAAATAATCGGCCGATTCATCGATTTTTAAAGTAATCGTTAGTTGCAGCCCTACTTTGCATGACTTCAAGGTGATATTTTATTTAAAAGCTATTGAGTTAAAATCTGCTACTCACAGGCTTTTCTTCTGTCTAACATTTCAAGCCATTCTTAAATCGTTCCAGTTTGATCTCAGTTTCCTTATTACTTTACAGAGACGTCTTGATCCTCTCAGCACTCACATCCCTGTGCATCTGTGTTATCTAAAGCTCAATCAAACAGAAGTAAGATGTTAGAAGAAGAAAATTTGATCAACCTCAAAACACTGAAAACATCTCAGTATTAGGGGGACAGTCATGCAGACCGAAACACCGGCCACCGTAAAGTGAGCAACCATAAAAAAGGTCAAAGTGGACGAGATTCCACTCGTTGCCCTTTTCCCTCCATCACGCCCGGCCTCGTAACATGTAAGTCTGTCTTAATAAGGCGGCTCATGAAGGATGGCGAGGTGGTCGCCATAGAGACATATGAGCGATGCAAACTCCGGGGGCCGAGGAGCAATTACCTGATCAAAGGCCGGCTGAGATACTGGAACATAGAGGTGAGCATGAGCAGCACGCAGCTGGCAGACAATAAGCAGGTGTATTTTTTTCATTGTTTACCCTCACTGAACAGGAAAACCACTTTATCGCATATCCCACAAATAGTTCCTTATTTTATACTTTGTTCTGGTACTTGTACCTGCATTACCAAACTGAAATTCTATCCGCATTTTGTGTTTAAATGTTATGAAATTATATTTTTTCTTTTTTTTTGCAGTTACTTTCTGTTTTGATATTTAACAAAAGCTCTACTGTAATTTGCATTTCATTTAATTTCTTACTGATAAACAAAACGTGTAGAGTGGTGTAGAGAAGCTGACAGATTTTTGCTTTTTTTTTTCTTCCTAAATCCAGCCTGACATTTGTGATTTGTTCTGAAATGTTCAGATGCCCAGGAGGCTTTCAGCAGGACAGTTTGCCGGCACAGTGGGAGGCTGTCGGGATGGAATATGAAAATAATCTGTGTTTAAAACCACTTTAAAAAACTTTAAAAAGCTATTGGCTCTAGCATCAAACTGGGACTAAATAAATCCCTGTTTTCCTCTTTGTAATTTTTTATGATCTTTAGACAGTTTAAATGTGGAAACATGTCCTGTATTCAATATTTTGTCTTAGGGAAAGAAAACAACTAACGCAATAAGCTGCCACTATGCCGAATTCTTTATAGATGGAGTAATTTCTTGTGTTCTGATCAAATTTTGACAGCTAGGTCAGGAATCTCCAATTCCCGTCCTGCAGGGTCAGAGTCCTGCAAAGTTTC